CATTACTAAATCTGATGATTATTTCCACTGTTTTTGGCCTAAATGTCACTACAAGGCAACAAATAAACAACGTTTAACTCGACATCAGTTAATTCATTCATCAATAAAACAATTTAAATGTGATTTTAATAATTGTAATAAAAGTTTTATATGGAAAGAAGCGCTACATAAACACAAAAATACAATTCATCTTAATAAAAAATTTGTTTTTGATATTAAATCATGTGAGAATGTGAGTCTAAACAATCATTGGTTAACCACAAGAATAATCATTTAATTTACAGTAAAAATGATTATATTTACTGTTTTTGGCCTAAATGTCAATACAAAACAATTTATAAAAAACATTTAACTTTACATCAATTAATACATTCAAATTTGAAACAATTTAAATGTGATTTTAATAACTGTAATAAAAGTTATAAATTGAAATCAAATTTAATTCGTCATAAAAATAGAGATCATTTAAATGTGAGATTTATTTGTAATTTCAATGAATGCCACAAAAGTTTTACAACAAAACAGCATTTATTTCAACACAAAAGTTGTGTTCATTTGAATGAAAGGAAATTCAAATGTAAGAAAATTGTGGCAAAAAATTCCAAACAAAGCAAAATCTAATTCAACACAAACGCATTCATTCGGGAGATAAACCATTTGTTTGTCATTTTAATGATTGTAACAAAACATTTGCTTTCGAATCTGGAGGGGAGCCGGAGAGGGGGTGTAAAGCTCATAAAATTATTAAAATGTTTATATAATTGTTTATTCTGAATATATTATCTGTTGATATGATAAGTTATCAATCAAACCTTAATTAACATGGTGATAAATAAAGGTTAGCTTATCATCAAATACTACAATTAATAAAAAATATTTCTAACTTAAATTTCTATCTGAACTTAATTAATTATTAAACAATGATTTTAATAGCGATTATTATTACAAACATTTAAATGTAAATTAAAGATAATAAAAGTAATAATAAAAATTTTTAATTAAAGTTAATTAATTAAATGTTTTTTCCACAACACTTCGCACTCAATATGTTTAAGATTTTGGCCAAAATTAGTGCCAACTTTGGGCTCATTAGTGAACTCATAGTACGGGCCGATTGTCTGGCCGTTCATTGAATAGTATGGCTGCCATTGAGCGCCGCTCTGCGCCGGCGGACTCCCAGTGCGAGCAAATGTACTCAATATGGCTATCATTTGTCGGGAGACCTGCCGTTCCCTCTCGACATACTTGTGCTCATCAATCAGTGGTAAACCAAACAAAGGGTATATGTCATCGAAATGACAGACACCCATCCAATCGGCGCAGAAAAGTGTCGGTTCCGCCGATTTATAGTTATAATAGTACTGATAGACGCGGGCCGTCGGGTCGCCCGAGTGTACGGCCTTCGCATACAATATAGTGGGACAGCCAAGGAATACATCGCCTATGGCTACACCCATTCGGTGCCGGGCGTTGTCAATATCGGCCGATTGACTGTTCATATAAAACTTAATAATATCATAAGCATTGTTGGGCAGTCCACCCGGTGTTACCAAGGTCATAAATTGCTTAAAATCACCCACTAATTCATCACGGGTTAGAGGTTTGGGCGCCCGCTTGTCATACCTGTCCGGCCGTACTATAGGCATTATTACTGAGCCCTCGTCTTCAGTGGTGCCGATCATTAGATCCAACCCTTTCTTAAAGTCTCCGTTGCGGAGCATTACGTCCGGCGTCGACGGCAGGAGCTGTCCATCAACTATAATGTTAATAAGTGCCGCCTCGGCGGTTGACATCACGGCCTGTATGGTCACCAACCGGTCGGCCGACTGTCCCATTAAGCAGTCAGTGAGTTGTGGGGTAAACCTACCGGTGCTTTCACTGTCACCGGCATCGCAGCCCAGTTTGATGGCTGCCGACACCCATCGACTCTCCAACGCGTGTTTATCGGCCAATAAGCGCCGGTTAAGCGGCGCTCCGGACATCACAATCGCCCGCCGAAACAGATGCCGACTGACCGGCGATAAGGTATGCACTGCAGCCGATACTGCGCCCGCGCTCTCGCCAAACACCGTAACCATATCGGGATCGCCGCCAAAATATTTGATATTATCGCTGACCCACTCCAGTGCCAGCGCCTGATCCCATAGGGCCTGATTGCCCGGCGCCGTACCCTCTGCTCCCGTATACAATTGGCCGAATATATTGAGTCTATAGTTTATTGTGACCACAACCACATCGCCGAGTGCTGACAGTACGTGTCCGCTATAAAACTTTTCAACCGATGACCCAAAGGTGAGTCCCCCGCCGTGTATCCAAAACATTACCGGTCGGAGTGTGTCCGGTGCTGACGGGTTGGCGGTCGGCAACCAAATGTTTAGGTATAGACAATCTTCACTCATATTGGGGTTAAAGTAATCATTATGTAATTTCATGTGATAACAAGCGGGCGGCCAGTGCTGGGCATTCAACGGCTCCGTCGACCTGTCGACTATCGGCGCCGGCTTTTTGAACCTCAGGGGTCCGACCGGTGGCTGAGCGTACGGTACGCCCAGATATACGTCTAGATCCCGGCCCTCGTATGACTCCCGGCGCCCATCGATCAGCCCATTATTGATCCTTACGCTCACTGTTTTCCCAGTTTTATCATGTGTTACGTCAACACCACTCACATAAATAATTGTGGTAACTATGTATGTAATGTATAAATTGAACATGGTTTACAATCTAGATTATTTTATTCATAAAATACGAAATTGACTAAATATTTCATCTAATACAATTTTAAATAGTTTTATTTTATTTTATATGTTCATATATTTATATTTTAATGTTATAATGGCAAATAAATAAATAAACAATTACATTATATAATTTTAAATTTATTTATTGACAAAACATGATTACATTAATGCTATCCATAACTTAACACATGGGTGGCCGAAATGTTACACCTATTTATTATTCTATACAGTGTATATCATTTTATATTATTTCAAATTATAATGCATTTATTTATGTCTAAAATGCACATTTTTTAATTAAAACAAATAAGCAAATTACAAAAATATAGATTTTAAACTAGTGATGGTAAAAGTGAAAATTTTCATTCACGTTCACTCACGGCCACAAAAATATTTTTCACGCTCACTCACACTCACGGGGGGAAATTCAATCGTGAATCACACTCACTCATGGTGTCT